TCCATGGTCCATCCTTGGCCAAACCACACTAGGACGTAAAGTGGGTCATGAGAGGTCTATGTGCCAAGTTTGGTCCTGATCAGTCATTGGATGAGGTTAACAGCGGTCTCAGAATGTGCGTGATGGTACTGCAAGTCCCATCATCCATGGTTCATCCTCCTCCAAACTGCAGTAGGATGTCGAGTGGGTCTTGTGTGCTCTGTGTGCCAAGTCTGTTCTGTATTGGTAATTGTCTGACTCAGCCCCCTCTGGCCTTTTCCTTTCCTCTCTTTGTCATCTCGGAATCTTGGAATTGAGGCTGGCCAATCAGAGACCATATGCAAATTTCCTTCTCATGTCCCCGTTTCTGCCATGAACTCTTTTCTCCACCAGGGGCTCCTATTGAAGCTGGCCAATCAGGGACCATATGCAAATAGCACCACTGCGGCAGCCAATCAGAATGTTGGAACTTTCAGGCTGGCCAATCAAAACGCTGGCACATACTCCTCCTGTCGCACCGCCACACTTTTGTCCGCCGCATACAAGTTTTGACTTTTATTATATACATAGATGAACACATGCTGTGAACCGGCCTGAGTCCCTCCTTGGAGGTGAGAAGACCGGTATAGAAAACTTCTTCTAAATAAATAATTCAACCATCCATAGCTAGGAAAAAAATAATTCCCAAAAGCAAATGTTGATTTCTCCATTGTATATAATGAAACTTGAGTAGACACAAATGTTCGTCTGAGGGGCGGGGTGGTTCCTGCAACTTAGGCCCAAATGATAACAAGGCTCACTGTATCTGTTTCCCCCTCCCATTTAAGGTTACACTTTTCCCCATTTGCCTCTAGGGCGCTGTCTAAAAAATCTAAGTTATGGATCTCTGACGAATATAAAGGTCAGTCATTCATTAACTGATATAAGCAGTTGTATCCATAAAGGACGCAGCAATCTGTATTTAATAGTACCATCTGAAAGAGGATCAAGCTTGCAGGCTCTTCTAAGCTGCCAGCTCCATTTGCCAGAGGCAACCTGTCCTCATGCCAAATCTGATTATACTGTTGTAATATAGGCTACAAATTAGATTAGACTGAGACAGCATAAGAAGATCTCCTCTCCTGCCCCAGGACAACAGGTGCTGTTAGCTTAAGTGGCATTTGGGAATTGATATAAGGAGCTTTGTAGTACTTGTACACCTGAACAGTCATGCAACATAATGAAATACAGATGACACAGAATTTGAGTGGATTATTGGGGTTTGTAAATAACTGCATTTAATAGTAATAGGATATTGACACCCAGGTGTTGTATCTTTAATTTGGATATCAGCATCTCAGCTGAAACTGAAATCGGAGCCGATGTCCCTGATACATATCTGATAATATGCTTAGTCATTCTGTGTTCATGTAGAAAGTGACGTGTAAGATGATCGTAAAGATGAGTCTTGCTTTCAGGGTTTTCTAATAGACAATGTACCATATATACTCGAGTATAAGCCGACCCGAATATAAGCCGAGGCACCTAATTTTATCACAAAAAAATAATAATGAGGAAACGTATTGACTCCAGTATAAGTCGAGGGTGGTAAATTCAAAATAAAAATAGATAATAATAAAATTACATTAATTTTTTATATATATATCTATATATATATATATTGTATACATATAATATTTATAATATTGTAATGTAATGCAATATAATACTACTACTAATAATATGATATTATAATTATATATTTATATTACATGTAATATTACTAATAATATTACAGTATAATTGATATAGTGCAATATAGCAATATTTAAAACTGATATTGTACTATGTTAATAATATATTGTATGTATATATACCTTGTAAGCCGCTCTGAGTCCCCTTCAGGGTGAGAAGGGCGGCATATAAATGTCGTAAATAAATAAATAAATAAATAAATCTTATTAAAAATAAAAACTAAAAACGAAAGAAAGAAAAGAAAAAAATTAGAAAAAAGAAGAAAGAAAATATAAATATATACATATATAGACAAAGTAGAAAAAACAAAAATAAAATCAAACAAAACACTCAGACACCAAACAAAACAAAACAAATAAAAAAAAGACTGGAGCATGATGGTATATGTGTCTCCTTGGTTGACTTCCTGACAGGCCCGTAGCCAGGATTTCGATTCGGGGGGGGGGGGGGGTGAATTTTTTCAGGGGGAGGGGTTGGGGGATGGTTTCGGGCGGCGGGCTCTGAGTCTGAGTGAAAGAGGGTCTACCCTAGCAAACCTTTTGTATCATTACCCCAATACCCCCATGCATATGGGATATATTGAGTATGGTGATCAGATCATGATATGAATAAACTTAACAGTTTAAATAATGCACCAGTAAGGCCTTTTCGCGAACCACTGCTTCCTGAGTATCGTCCAAGTGGTTTTTCCTCTTTTTTCTTATCTTTCCTTCCTTCTTATTTCCTCTTCCTTTTATATTATTATATTTCCATTTTTCTGTTTCAAGTAGTTTGTCACTTTTGTTCAATCAGTTTCTTTTATTGGGGTCCCTTTGTTTTTTGAAATTAAGTACGTTAATCTATCCATATTATTAATATCTACAATTTTTTCTATCCAATCACTAATTTCTGGGATCTCTTTTCCCCCCCATAATTTCACGTAGCAAATTCTTGCTGCAGTATTTAATAAAAATATGAGTTTGTCTGTATTTTTTTTCTAATTTTTGATCTATTATCCCTAATAGGAATATTTTGGGTTCGAATGGTATTTTTATATTTAACATTTCTTGCAGTGTTTTGTGAATTTTTCCCCAGTATATTTTAGATTTGGTACACAACCACCACATGTGGTAATATGATCCCTCTATATTTCCACATTTCCAACATTTGGTGTTTATATTTTTGTAACATTTCCCAAGTTTTGGGGAGTCATGTACCACCTATGTGCTACTTTATCCAGTTTTCTTTCAAATCTGTTGCATATGTGTATTTAATCTTTGTTTTCCAAATTTTTCCCCACTCCTCTTTTCTAATTGTTTTTCCTATATTTTCCTTCCATCTTTTCATATATTTTTTCTCTCCCTTCGATTCTGAGGCCTCAGTAGGTTAAATGTTTTTGGATATTTACATAAAATTGTAATTTAAGATAAGATTGTCCAACTCCGATTAAACCATGATTCTCACCTTCTTCCATGTAAATGTGCTTACCTATCCTTCCAATAATTAAGAGAGTAAAATAAAATAAAAAATGTAATGATAATAATGATAAAGTAATATCAGTAAACGTAAAAGGTCTAGGACTGCTGGCTAATCTATGTGTATTATATGGCTGTTATGATGCATCTTAAGTGAAGCACAGGTGTCAGCTATTTTTAATTCAAGGTAAACGTAAAGGTTTTCCCCTGCCAATGAGTCTAGTCGTGTCCGACTCTGGGGGTTGGTGCTCATATCCGCTGAAGAGCCGGCGCTGTCCGTAGACACCTCCAAGGTCATGACTGCATGAAGTGCCATTACCTTCCCGCTGAAGCGGTACCTATTGATCTACTCACATTTGCATATTTTCGAACTGCTAGGTTGACAGAAGCTGGGGCTGACAGCAGGAGCTCACCCCGCTCCCCGGATTCGAACCTGCGACCTTTTGGTCAACAAGCTCAGCAGCTCAGCGGTTTAATATATGTAAGAATAATAATAAATACAGTAAAATAATAAATGTAATAAAATAATAATAATACAGTAAAATAATGTAACTGTAATAATAATAATAAATAGAGTAAAATAATAAATGCAACAATAATAATAGAGTAAAATAATAAATGTAATAAAATAATACAGTAAAATAATGTAACTGTAATAATAATAATAATAAATAGAGTAAAATAATAAATGTAACAACAATAATAGAGTAAAATAATAAATGTAATAAAATAATACAGTAAAATAATGTAACTGTAATAATAATAATAAATAGAGTAAAATAATAAATGTAATAAAATAATACAGTAAAATAATGTAACTGTAATAATAATAATAATAATAATAAATAGAGTAAAATAATAAATGCAACAACAATAATAGAGTAAAATAATAAATGCAACAATAATAGAGTAAAATAATAAATGTAATAAAATAATTATACAGTAAAATAATGGAACTGTAATATAATAATAAATAGAGTAAAATAATAAAGGTAATAAAATAATATAATAACAGAGTAAAATAATAAATAATATCGACACGAGTGTAAACCGAGGGGAGCTTTTTCAGCCTAAAAAAGGGGCTGAAAAACTAGGCTTATACTTGTGTATATATGTATTTATCATAGTGCTTTACGCATTGTACAGTCCATTTCTATCAAGTTATGGTAGTCCAGAACTACTGATATCTACTACTTTTACTGAACATTTTTTACATGATAGAGACAAAATATCATGAACCCTAGAATTGGAAGGGACCCCCAGAGGGCATCTAGTCCATCCAGCCATAGATATGATGGGGTCCTGGAGTTGGAAGGGAACCAATGACACTGCAAGGCATACCCTTTGGGAGATCACACAAAATTATGAGGCTGTGGGGAGGAAGTTGAAGGGCCTTGATACACAAATAGTGTTGTCTCTTCTCTCAATTCAAGGATACACAGTCCAGGAAGGGACAGAAAGAAAAGCTTGGCATTATCAAGGTGGCAAACCATCCCTATGTTCAGATGATAGCAGGGGCAATGATAAGGGATTATATGAGGCATTCAAATACATCTGAAGGGTAACAGATTTCCATCCTTACAGTAGACATTGAAATTGCCATAATTTAGTATTCTAAGAGTTCTGAAACAATTATTAATTTTGCAAAGCTGATCCATATTAGCTGCAATCACGCTTAGTGTGGAGGCAACATGGACTGACTTAAACGAAATGTATTTGCCCCAAATTCCACTTGATCTCTCTGACTGCCATGTTTCTAGCTTGGTGCCAGGCAGGAATATGTTGGGAATTATCTTTGTGAATTGATCATTATTTTTGTTTTGGGTTCTGCAGTTTTGTGCTACACTTGGAACCACATCGTGCTGCTCCTTTGACAAGCTGATAGAACTGGGTCCAATATGTACGTTTTATCAGAAAGTTTTAAAATCTGCTGCTGTGTGTGCTATAATCATCTGTTCAGTTTTCCAGACCATCACATCATTGAATTGTCATATCAGTAAATACTTTGGGACTTGTACAACCCCCCCCCCAAAAGTTTCAGATTTTTAAAAAACCTGGTTTACTTATGAATTTTAACTGGTTAAGCAAACCCCCATGCTAAGTCTATGAGATGCAAAAAATTAAGAGTCCCTCCAGAACTGCAAGCACTATCTCAAGCAAATATTGACAATTTATTATTATTATTATTATTATTATTATTATTATTATTATTATTATTATTATTTACTGTATTTGTATACCGCCTTTCTCAGCCTATCGGCGACTCAAGGCGGTTTCCAACAAAACAGTATACATAGTATCATAATACAATTTAAAAACATTAAAATTACATAAATCACAACAGCAATAAAAACAACATCATTGGCGTCTCCTTATTGTCAAGCATTGTCCAATTCCATCGTCAGTTATCCGTTCCTATATCAGTTATCTGTATCCGTTACTCTGTGTTTGTGAACGCTTGCTCAAACAGCCATGTTTTGAGTTGCTTCCGAAACATTAAGAGGGAGGGAGCAGATCTAATCTCTCTGGGGAGGGCGTTCCATAGCCAGGGAGCCACCGCTGAAAAGGCCCTGTCTTTAGTCCCCGCCAAAAGTACCTGTGACGAAGGCGGGGCGGGGCCAAGAGCAGAGCCTCTCCGGACGATCTCAAGGTCCTAGATGGTTCATAAGGGAAGATACGTTCGTACAGGTAAGTTGGGCCAGAACCGTTTAGGGCTTTATAGGCTAGAACCAGCACTTTAAATTTATTCACACTGTCATTACTTACAGCAATAGCCGATGTAGCGAAGCAACCAAGTGTGGGGGGGGGGAGTGTTGACTGCTCTCATTAAGGAGGCCAGACTTGCTGGAGGTGGTTGACAGGGGCGGAGCTGCAGGCTATGGAAGGCTGCTCTGCCCCCTGCCGTGCTCTTTGCTTCAGCGTGAGCTAGGAGGCAGCTTTATTTATTTATTTACTTTGCTTATATACCGCTGTTCTCAGCCCAGGGGCGACTCACAGCGGTGTACAACATAGGAACAACAAAATTCAAGACATAGTATAAAAACAATTCTGGCCCCAAAGTGGCCACCGGTGTTGGGGGAGGGGCGCCGATGCCACAGGGGACAAGACGGCAATGTCCTCCCGGCTCCCCCCCTCCACCCCGGCCCCAGAGTGGCCACTGGTGCCAGGGGAGGGGCGCCGATGCCACAGGGGATAAGACGGCAATGCCCTCCCGCCCCCCCCACTCCGGCCCCATAGTGGCCGCCAGCACCAGGGGAGGGGCGCTGACGTCACAGGGGACAAGACGGAAATGTCCTCCCGGCTCCCCCTCTCTACTCTGGCCCCAGAGTGGCTGTTGGTGCTGGGGGAGGGGTGCTGATGTCACAGGGGACAAGATGGCAATGTCCTCCTGGCTCCCCTTCTTTATTCTGGCTTTCAACCCCCCCCCTGCAAAATTTTCAACCCCTCCCCCCCCCAAATTTCATATCATTAAATACTTTGCATATCAATGCATATCATTAAATACTTTGGGACTTGTATATGAAACTTCTTGGGTCCCTTCTACACTACAATAAATACTTTATTAATAACCCACTGTAAAGGAACAGTTAATGAATAACAAACAACAAGTCGATGAGGAGAATTGTATAATGGTGGTGGTGTGTGTGGCTGAGTACTTTATTATACTTAAAATATGTGAGTCTTGAGAGAGACTTGTATGAGAGGCTTTTGTATGAGAGAGTTTTGTACTTTTAAAAGACTTTGCTTGTGAGGTTTAATTTTTTTTCTCCTTCTAGGTAATGAGGAGAATATTTGGCTGCATATTGACGCAGCGTATGCTGGGAGCTCATTTATCTGCCCTGAATTCCGTTACCTTCTCAATGGAGTGGAGGTAAGCAACGGTCCTGAAAATCAAGAAATGAAGATTCTTTAGTTGCTGACTTCTGTTTTTGCAGTTTTGTACAGGTGGAGGTTTTCTTGTAGTGATGTGGAGATATTGGGAATATAGATATTTATACATATATTAGCTGTCCCCTGCCACGCGTTGCTGTGGCCCAGTATGTTGATCTGGAAAATAAAGGAATGAGAAAGTGTTGGTTTCTAATATATGTAATTTCTTTATGCTTATGGGTAAACAGTAGGCCTGGGTAACAACGCAAAAATTTGTTTCTAAAATCGATTTGTAATTGGGGTGTTTTTTTGTTTCGATATTTAAAATAATTACAAAATTTTCCCTTTGAAAAGTTCGGTATTTACGAAATTTCGTAAATATTTACGAATGATTCGTTAAGATGGCGGACCCCTGCGCATGCGCAAAATCACTTCCGAAGCTTCGTTATTGGCGCGGGGTCGATTCGTTAAGGTTATAACGAATCGATTCGTTAAAACGACGGACGCGATTGCGCATGCGCAAAGCGACTTCCGAAACTTCGTTATTAAATACGAATCGATTCGCTATTAAAATAATAACGAATCGATTCGTTAAAACGGCGGACGCGATTGCGCAATGCTAAATGCTCTATAAACAAAATCATTTCATAAAATAAATCAAATAAAATAATCAAATAGAACAAGATATTAAGATATTAAATAAAAAAGTAATAAGATAAAGTATCCAAAACTGAGTCAATTTAATAATATAATGAAATAAACAATAATATAATAATAAAATTTAAATAAATAAAATATAAATAATAAATAATAATAATAATAATAAATAACAATAAATAATATAAAATTATATAATATATACAATATAAAATAATATAATATAATAATATATTATTATATATATTATATAAATGAAATAAATAATAATATAAATATTTAAATAAAATATAATTAAATTTATAAAATATTTATAAAATATAATTATAAATAATAATAAAAATAATATATAAAATTAAATTATAAATTATTAATATATAAAAATAATGTTATTATAAAAACTTAGAAAGTAAATATAAGAAATAAATAAAGAAAAAGTAACAAAAAGTAACAGAAATTGCACTTTGAAAAAACTCTGAAAATTATCTGGGAAGTATTGCATACATACTAATTTCTGTAGCAGTATTGCAAGTTAAGTAAGAAGGACCAACTTCACATTTGGGGGTGGTGTCTCTTAATGTGCATCCTTAGCCCTGTTGTGGCAAGATGCCTCATATCTTTTCCTCTGCTGACGCTCACACCGCAATGCCTGCAAACTGCCAAAGTGGCCCTCTCATTATGGACGTCGTAATGATCCCATAGGAGCGATCTCGGCCTACCCCTACTAGGCACTTCAGATGTACTCATGCTCGTGTTTGGACTGTCGGTGTTTGTGGAAGGGAGTATAATCGTTGGTTGTTTCTGTAGCTCGCCCTCCATCAGCATGCAGTCCTCTTGATCACTAATTCCTGTGGTGGAAGCACATTCCATCTTGTCTTCCTCCCATTCCTCTGACACGTCCGCCTCCTCGCCCTCCTCTTCATAACAAGTAATATCAGAGGTACTTGGAACGACATCAGGATCTGAACGTAGAGTCTTTCGAACTGATGAAGAAGAAGGTTCTGCCATCTCACAGCTGGTTGAAGCATCTGTGGGTGTTTCAATAACCATCTCGTTGGATGAATGTTCCCTTCTTGTCAATGTGTTCATCTTCAGTCCCCTGCCTTTCTTCGGTATTCGCGATAGCACTTGGCCCTTGCGACTAGAAAAGCCGGGAAGGAAGCGTTTCATCACACTGGTTGGAACTACACAAATAATGAGCAAAAGGAGCGCACTGGTTGGAACTACACAAATAATGAGCGAGCACTGTATTATAGCACTTTCTGTTGGCAAAAGGAGCGCACTGGTTGGAACTACACAAATGAGCGAGCAGTGTATGTAGCACTTTGTGTTGGCAAAAGGAGCGCACTGGTTGGAACTACACAAATGACAAACGCACACACAGCCACCGAAGACTCTTTTATTTTTTTAGAATATTTTTTGTATTTTTTTAAGAATAAAAGACAGGTATTTTTAGAAAATATTCAAAAATGGAAAATTAACCAAAAATTGGCCCTGATGTGGACCAAACACAGCCACAAGACAGGGCAAACGAGAGCACACACCAACAGAAGAGTCTTTTCTTTTTTTGGAATATTTTTGGTTTTTTTTAAGAATAAAAGGCAGGTATTTTTAGAAAATATTCAGAAATGGAAAATTAACCAAAAACTGGCCCTGATGGGGACCAAACACAGCCACGAGACAGGGCAAATGAGAGCACACACCAACAGAAGAGGAATATTTTTGGTTTTTTATTTTTTTAGAATAAAAGAAAGGTATTTTTAGAAAGTATTCAAACATGGAAAATTAAACCAAAAATGGCCCTGATGTGGACCAAAGACAGCCACGAGACAGGGCAAGTGAGAGAGCACACACCAACAGAAGAGTCTTTTCTTTTTTAAGAATATTTTTTGTTTTTTTAAGAATAAAAGACAGGTATTTTTAGAAAATATTCAAAAATGGAAAATTAACCAAAAACTGGCCCTGATGTGGACCAAACACAGCCACGAGACAGGGCAAACGAGAGCACACACCAACAGAAGAGTCTTTTCTTTTTTAGAATATTTTTTGTATTTTTTTTAGAATAAAAGACAGGTATTTTTAGAAAATATTCAGAAATGGAAAATTAACCAAAAACTGGCTCTGATGTGGACCAAATACAGCCACGAGACAGGGCAAATGAGAGCACACAGCAACAGAAGAGTCTTTTCTTTTTTTAGAATATTTTTGTTTTTTTTAAGAATAAAAGACAGGTATTTTTAAAAAATATTCAAAAATGGAAAATTAACCAAAAACTGGCCCTGATGTGGACCAAACACAGCCACGAGACAGGGCAAACGAGAGCACACACCAACAGAAGAGTCTTTTCTTTTTTTAGAATATTTTTTGGTTTTTTTTAAGAATAAAAGACAGGTATTTTTAAAAAATATTCAAAAATGGAAAATTAACCAAAAACTGGCCCTGATGTGGACCAAACACAGCCACGAGACAGGGCAAACGAGAGCACACACCAACAGAAGAGTCTTTTCTTTTTTAGAATATTTTTTGTTTTTTTTAAGAATAAAAGACAGGTATTTTTAAAAAATATTTAAAAATGGAAAATTAACCAAAAACTGGCCCTGATGTGGACCAAACACAGCCACGAGACAGGGCAAACGAGAGCACACACCAACAGATGAGTCTTTTCTTTTTTACAATATTTTTTGTATTTTTTTAAGAATAAAAGACAGGTATTTTTAAAAAATATTCAAAATGGAAAATTAACCAAAAACTGGCCCTGATGTGGACCAAACACAGCCACGAGACAGGGCAAACGAGAGCACACACCAACAGAAGAGTCTTTTCTTTTTTAGAATATTTTTTGTATTTTTTTAAGAATAAAAGACAGGTATTTTTAGAAAATATTCAGAAATGGAAAATTAACCAAAAACTGGCCCTGATGTGGACCAAACACAGCCACGAGACAGGGCAAACGAGAGCACACACCAACAGAAGAGTCTTTTCTTTTTAGAATATTTTTTGTATTTTTTTAAGAATAAAAGACAGGTATTTTTAAAAAATATTCAAAAATGGAAAATTAACCAAAAACTGGCCCTGATGTGGTCCAAACACAGCCACGAGACAGGGCAAATGAGAGCACACACCAACAGAAGAGTCTTTTCTTTTTTAGAATATTTTTTGTATTTTTTAAGAATAAAAGACAGGTATTTTTAGGCCTGGGTAACAACGCAAAAATTTGTTTCTAAAATCGATTTGTATTTGGGGGGTTTTTTTGTTTCGATATTTAAAATAATTACAAAATTTTCCTTTTTAAAAGTTCGGTATTTACGAAATTTCGTTATTATTAACGAATCAATTCGTTAAAATGGCGGACGCGGTTGCGCAACATGAAAATATTAGTTTTTTAAATAATAGTTTTAATAATAATAGTTTTAGTCCGCCCCCTCTCTATCCCTCCCTCCCTCTCCCTCCCTACCAACCGGGCGGTCGCCTCCGTCTCGTTGCTGCGCCTCCTCCTGCGTTCCCTTTTCCCGGCGGGGGAGGCGATCGGGGGAGTCAGCAACCGCAGCGTCGTCGGCCTTGCCGCTGCTGCTGGGCGCGGGTCTTTCCCAGGGCGGCGGATGCCAGGGCCCCGCCGAGCGGGCACGCCGCCGGACCACCCCTGCGCCGGGCCGGGCATGTGTGGGGTGTGCATGCCCAGGTGAGCCGGGAAAAGGGGGAAGAAGGGGGCGGGGGGAGCCAAGGGAGCGAGGGGAGGAAGCCAGGCCGGGAAGGGAGCTTGCTCGCTCAGTCTCTCTCTCTCGCCTGCCTTCCCTTCTCCTTGCCCCTGCTCGGGCCCCTTTGCAGCCCGGGAGCTGAAATAATAACGAAGCAATTACAAAACAATTACAAAATAGCTTTAAAAATTCGTTTCGTTTTTTGGTTGCTCCTGGATGGTTTGTTATCGCTTCGTATTCAAGAAAAATAACGAATTATTAACGAATTACGAAATTAACGAACAAAAGACAGGTATTTTTAGAAAATATTCAAAAATGGGAAATTAACCAAAAACTGGCCCTGATGTGGACCAAACACAGCCACGAGACAGGGCAAACGAGAGCACACACCAACAGAAGAGTCTTTTCTTTTTTTAGAATATTTTTTGTATTTTTTTAAAGAATAAAAGACAGGTATTTTTAAAAAATATTTAAAAATTGAAAATTAACAAATTAACAAAAACCGAAGGAAGGAATGAATACCGAAGGAAGGAATGAATCCAAGCAAGGAATGAATAATAAGCAAGGAATAAATCCAATCCAAGCTTAGCCAGCAACCAACCAACCGAGCCAACCCAATGCAAGCCGCCCTCCCGGACCTCTTCTCTTC